ACCAGCTGGCAGAATCAAACAACAACAGCAGGAAGAATGTTTGGTATTGCAAGCCAGACAGTTCTGCAGAATGAAATAAACATTCACAACGGTGCTGACTTTTTAAAAAGTGAGCAACAAACCTTAACTATGTAAATGCACAGAAATGGCTGATTAAGCAAATAAATTTCTCACAATAAATATTTCATGAATATCATTGGAAGGATGATTGACGACATCATTATAAAATCATTGAATAGGAAACCAAGAATATTGGTATAAGGATGGTCAGTTTTCCAACTGAAATAAATCTAGATGTAAAATTCTGCTTTATCCATTTTGGTCTTTCAAACAATTCCCCCCAGCCCCATGATTTCACCCACTCAATGATACCACTGTACCATAAGCCACTCCCTTAAGTCCTTGGATGCTGAAAAAAAATCCTAAGGGAAGTCCCCAGGCTGCAATTCAATTCAATTCAATTCAATTCAAATTTTTATTGTCAGTGCACAATATATGTACAATGAGATTGGTTGAGCTCCCTCAGTGCACCCCCAACACAATACAACTCACAGTGAAGACAGAAAATCCCTAAGCCAATAAATCATATTAACAAAACACCCAGTCCTATTGCACCAGTGCAAATTATCATTAGAATGATAATTCAAATAGAAAGGTAAGGAATATAGATGAGTTGAGTCCTAGCATACATATCTTTAGGCCAGTTGGGATTCAGAAGATAAGTCAGAATACATTTGCAATAAGACAACCCATAAGGTTACGCTATCTCTGAACTTTTTTCATCAACATAGCACAGTCTATAGTAGGGCTGTATTATTCAGTTTGGATTGCAAGATTCAGGCTACTTGAAGACAACATCTCATTGCCAACATCTGGCCAAAATGCCTTCCAGAACCAAGTATTCCTCTAGTTTGCTACCTTCTTCCTTTCCATAGAAGCCACTGAATCTCCTCACCAAAAAAATCAGGTTTTAAGGAGCATGATTCTTTCTCACAGTTAGTCTTTTCACTATTTATCTAGTAGGTGTCTCATTTTCTCTTTTTCCATCCACAAGTTATAAACTATGGTCATAACCCACTGACTAGGAGTTTCAGAAACCAAATGACTATTACAGATGTAGAAAAAGTTATATCTGGGCCTTCTTTGGAACACATGATTAGGAAGTAAGAGTTTAGATGTATTTAGACTGGAGCAGGTAACAACATTCTGAGCCACTACTCAGCTGCTTTCTGTATTTGGTTTATACTGGAGAATGCTTTCTAAAAAATTTTGCTTGCAATTTCCAGCCATATATGGTTCATTTCCATCTATAATCTTTTATTTGTTGGGTTCTACCACACCAAAGTTAGTTCTGTTTTCAATTAGCCTTCCTTTAATAGATAGATAAACCAACAGAATTCCTTTTGTATATTTATCCCCAACATTTCACTAGGTCAGAAAAAATAATTCTTGTATTTCAGCTGATGCTCTAATACCATAATAATTTCTAACTTCAGTTTTTTATTCGTATTTTATTGATTTCATTTACTCATCCTTAATGTACAGATGTATGATGCTACAAGATCCATTGTAGCAAACGCTAGTCAAGTTAAGCAATCCAAATTATTTTCCATTTTGTTCTAAGCAGAAGGATAAGCTCTAAATTTAGTTGCAGCAAGACAAAATATTCCCATACACTACCAACTTTACCCATTGTATTTTATCAAGTTCTTTTTACCATATATCTTCCACATTGTGGATTTTTTCAACTAACAGATCATTACACAGAACCTGGATTGAGGCAAAGAAAAATAAAAATGGAACAAATCATCAAAGCAACGGATAGGAATCTTGCATGTAATTCATATTACTTGAAAACTGCTAAGCCCTTCAAGTCAATGTACCAAAGAACAGCCAAAAACATGATTCAAAGAGCTACAGGGCATTCTAACTATTAGGGTTTATTTTTAAAAAGGTAAGGGAGGATTTGGGAGGATTTGGGTAGAAAGAATTATAGATTTATATGTTGAGAAGAAGGTAATTGGAAGTGATTGAAAGGACTCTGATCTAAACAACCATATATATTAATGCTGCAGTGTTATGCACACTTAGCTGGTAGTAGCCCTTATGATCAGTCCAGATGTTATCCATATATAAAAATGCAGAGGATCTTGACAGAAAATATGGAAAACTGACTGGGAATGGGGGGACTCAATGCCACTAGGTTTTTAAAAAGTGGCTTTAAAGAAACCTTGCAGAGCCTTGGCACTTTAGAATAAAAACCTTGCAGAGCCCTGTGGCTTTAAAAAAAAAAACAACTTGCAGAGCCTGGGCACTTTAAAAAAAAAAATGCAGCACTTAGAAAAAAAAAAAGCTGGCGGAGCCATGGTGCTTTAAAAAAAAACTTTTTTGGGTTTTTAAAAATTATAATTTTTAATTGAATTATAAAGTATTTTAAAATACAAAATAAATAGAAAAGCAGTAGTGGGGGAGAAAAAGAGAAGTTAGGAAAGATAAGAAAAAAAAAGAAGCATTGACTTCCGATTCTCTCTGTTAAGTAAAATAAGGCATTAACATCAAATCACAACTTTTTGCTTTTTCATAATAATATAAACAAGCCATTTCTATAAAGATCTATCAGTCTAATCAGTAAAACCCAAAGTCAGATTTTAATTCTTTTCCACATCAAGCATGAAGTTCAGAAGTGGTCTCCACAGGGAAACAAAAGTACTTCTTTTCTGTAGTCAATTTTGCTATTTCAGCCAACTCCATCAACTTCTGCAACCATTCATCCATAGTAGGAATCGAAAAATTCTGCTATGGTGGTTGAGAGCTTTTTTAAGAAGTAGACTCATGATCCATCAGGGCCAATAGATAGAGATGGTTTTAGGTTGTGTAATGCCTTTTCAACGGCATCTTCTGTGAAATCGACAAGTAGTAGATTGTTGTGATTAGTTGTGTATGATTGGGAAATGTGAGGCATGATCAGTTGCTGTTTACAAAGACTGAACTGAAGAACGTGTTGAAGAGGTTGGCCTTAATGGTTTCATTATTACAGTCTTTCCCGTTTGACCCTTTTAGTGGTGGGATGGATCTTGAATCTTTAAGTTTGTTGTTTACAAAATTATAGAAGGCCCAGGTGAATTTTGTGCATGGTAGGTTTTCCTCTTGTTTGCTATGATAATTGATGCATTCTGCCTTTATCTATCAGCATAAAGATTTGTAGCAACTTTTGAAGTTAGCTACATAGCCAGTTTTGTTATTGCGCCAAATAATGTTTTTTTGGACTGAAGCTTTCTTATTGTTATGGGTAATTTATTTTTCCTGGTTTTGGGGGTTATTTGTGGTACGTGTAGTTTGATGATTCTTTTGACTTCATGTAAAAATGAAGTCAATGGCTGCAGTGATATAATGCAATGATATAATGCTGCAGTGATATAATGGCTGCAGTGATGCAGCCAGTGAACAGAGTTTGCCAATCAAGAGATGACAGGCCATCAATTATGAGTTCATAATTGGCTTTTCTAAAGTTATACTTCCGGATTATATAAATCTGGAGTTTATTTGATACAAATAAAGATCAAATTCTATTTCCCTTTCCTCTTTATTAGTTAACTGGGCCAAGGTCTTTACCATTTTTAATATGATATCTTCACCTGGTTGTTCAGATATTCCACAGTCTTAATTGAAATTCTTTAATCCGAGTTTCCAGAATTGTTATCTCTTCCAGTTCAGTTTTACATAAACCGTTTGTCTTTTTCAATTGATGCTACATTCAATCTATTCTAGCTTTCACCTGTTTCATGTCTCTTTTCAGACTTTTAATTTCTTCCTGGAGTTTCCTTGCAAGTGATTGATCTTGGTTTCCAGCTTTAATCCAACATTTTGAATGTGCTCTTGTGTTTTTAGCATGTACTCATCCATAAATGGCTTTTAAAATTCTATATCTCCTTATAAACATTCTAATTTCTTTGTCTTCTTCCTTGTGGCCATTTGCATTTAAAGCTAAAAAAATTAAAATTTTATAATTAAAAGTTACAGATTTATAGGCTTGAAACCTGTATTTCACTGGAATTCTTAAGTATTCTTAAGAAGAGTCTTCCTTGTGGTGAATCAACACTATTATCTGAAAGGGTCTCTGAAGGGGAGGAGCAGAGCTTTACAGCATACGACCCCAAATGACCAATCAAAAGTTGTTTAAAATGAAACTGTTCACACACACCCCTCACAGCAGTCACCACACTTCATACAAAAAGTTCTTGTTTAAACTCCAAAAGCCAAATCTGTTGAGTCACCTAATAATATCAAATTCACTGAAAAGTTTAAGCCAAAAATTACAAAAATAGTTTCAGTAGTTTCCACATGCTTTAGTTTTAGATTGTATCAGGCTTCTTATTCTGGCTCTGCTATCTCAGCTCCACCCTTTTGCCATCTTGAATCACAAAGCCTCAAAAATGATGGAAATTCCACAAAAAAGGAAAGAGCAGGCTGCAACTAGAGAAAGCCTCTTTCAGCATGAAAGGTAAATACGGGGGGGGGAATCTAGTGCCTAAGAAGCGGTGGCACCTTTTATTGTCCGTTAGAATGGCTGATTCTTCCACAGTGAACTTGCTTGGTTGCCTCGCCCCAGCCAAGAAGCAGCTTCCCAGGAGAGTAAAAGGGTCGACTTCAGGGGTGGGTTCTAACTACCTTTACTAACGGCTTGGAATGGGGCCGCACACACACGCTCTTCTGCGCATGTGCAGAAGCATTCTGATGATGTCAGGGTCAGTGGGCGGAGCCTCCCACCGGTTTTACTACCGGTTCTATAGAACTGGTCCAAACCGGGGGCAATCCACCACTGGTCGATTTCCTAAGCCTCCCCCTATCCCATGGGGGGGGGGGTCTTCTTCCTTAGAAAGCACTCTAAGCCCTGAACTGTGGAGAGTCTGTAGGACAGCTAAAGATTCCCCTGCTGTCAAAGGTGAAGATCCTGCCAGAAGTGCTTTAAAAAAAACTTGTAGAGTGGCACATCCCAAAGCTCAGGGGCAATGGTGAGGGGTGTCAAAATAGGAAGCCCCCACTTGCTGCTGCCTCCCTGGCTTCTGCCCCATCTCCTGCTGCAGCCAAACTGCCAGTTCGGGGTAGAGCCAACTTCCTGAGTTATCTTCACAACTATTTTCCAGTGTTGAGATGTCCTGCGAAGAAATGGAGGCACCGAGTTGGCAGAGGAAAGTTGGCAGTGGTGAGAAGGCCACACACTGCTGGCCACCCTGAGCTAGTGGTGTTGAGTTGTTATAGATCTCCTTCTTTACAAATTGTTAGATCAGGCGCAGGAAATGAAGACGTGACCAGCTCGATACATTAAGTAACTTTATTAGCTACAAAAGTAACAAGACAAGACTGCAGGCGCGCTGCCGGGGCTCTCCTTATATCGCACCGCCCCTTGACAGGGATTCAAATCTCCCGCCCGATGGCTCGCAGCCAATCCGGGCGGATGTCCTTATAAGGACATAACACTCCTCCCCCCTTAGTCCGAACTGTCAATCTCGTTCACAAAAGTCACGTAATCGCGCAGGTACGTAGGACGCCTTGGCACCCTAGCTGACCTGCGCAGTCTCACTTCTTCTCCGTCTCCGGCCTGGATGGACGGGGCTCCTTCGTCTCCTGGTTCCCTCTCCGGAACCGGGCTCGGTTCGGCTGTCGAGTGAGCGGGGTCACCCCCAGCGCCTCCGGCCGGACCGCAGACCTTGGGTGGCTGGTCCTGTTGGTCTTCCTCCTGGCCTGTGGATCTATAGCCTCGTCTCGATTGCTCGGTTCTGACCCGGGAAGAGCGTCTGAGTCTCGGTAAGTCTGTCGCTTGCTCTTCCCTGGTCTCCTGGGCGCTGCGGTTCGGTCGTGGTTCGGCCTGCTGCCGGTTGGGTGGTGGTTCCGCTCGGTGCCCTCAGGTCCAGTCCGCTGGTCGTGGGTGGTGCTGGCTTGCATCGTGTTGTCCGACCTCGCAGGGGTGGCGTTGGTCCCCCTCGGTTGGGTTGGTGTTGGTCTACCCCGTCTGGTTGGTGGTGGTCGAGCCGGTCGGGATGTTGTTGCAGGACTACCTCTGCGGGGCGGCGGAGGTCTCCCCTGCCGGGGTGGTGTAGGTCTCCCTGGCCGGGTTGTTGTTGCCTTTCCCTTCCCCCTAGTCCCTGGTCTACCGTCGGGTGGTGCCTGGGGTCATCCGGGTCGGGTTGTTGTCCGCTGGCTGTTCTCTGAGATGGGCGGGGGTCCCTCTCGCTGGGGAGTCGTGTGCCACCCTCGCCCATGGGTAGTGGGGTGCCCGTCTTGGCTGGGTCCCGGTCTACTCGCCTGGATCTGCGGTCTCCCTGGCTGGGCTGGTGTAGGCTGCCATCACTGGTGGGGTGCGCTGCTCCTTCTCTGGGCAGGTCCCGGTCTACTCGCGGGATGGGTTGGTGGTCCCTGGCCCTGCTGTGCCGGGTGCCCACCTGGCTGGGTTGGTGTTGCCATCTCCCGAGCGGTTGGCCCCGGTCTACCTCGCTGGACTGCCGACGTGACAGTACCTGGTAGTGAGCCGGGCCGACCTCGTCGGGATGGCGTTGCTCTGCCTCGCAGGAGTGTGGTAGGCCTACCTCACCGGGATGTCGTAGGCCTACCTCGTCTGGGTGTGGTAGGTCTACCTCGCCGGGGTGTTGGAGGCCTACCTCGTCTGGGTGTTGTAAGCCTCCCTCGTCAGGCTGGTTTTCGTGTGCTCCCCCCCCACCTTTTCCGGAGTTGGTCGATGTGGCGTCTGCAGACCTGTCCATCTTCCAACTCGACGGTGTAGGATTTGGGGCCAGTTGTGCTGGCAATCTTCCCCTTCAGCCACTTAGGAGAGCCGTTGAAATTCAGCGCGAAAACTGAATCTCCCTTGCTGAAGGCGCGAAGCGGGCAGCTGGCGGTTGCGGTCACTTCCGGGCTGTATTGGGGGTGCAGCCGGTCCAGGGGTGACCTCAACCTTCTGCCCATTAGTAGTTCGGCCGGGCTCTTGTGGGTGGTGGCATGTGGCGTGATGTGTTGGGTGAGGAGGAAGTTGTCTATGCGTTCTTGCCAGTCTCCCGGGCCCATCTTGGTGAGGGCTTCTTTGGTGAGTCTGACCATGCGTTCAGCTTGTCCGTTTCCGGCCGGCCTGTATGGGGCGGACAGGGCGTGGCGGATGCCCAGTCCTGCCAGGAAGGATTCCATGGCCAGGGATGTGAGCTGGGGGCCGTTGTCCGAGACCAGCATGTCCGGTAGTCCATGTGTGGCGAACAGACGGCGCAGGGCTCGGATCGTCGCTTCTGTTGTGGTAGATGCCTTGGGCACCACCTCGAGCCATTTGGAGAAGGCATCTACCACGATGAGGAGGTGTCGCCCCTGCATCGGACCCGCGAAGTCGATGTGGATCCTCGACCAGGGGTTGCTGGGGGTCTCCCACTTCGCGACTTCGGATTGTGGTGGCGCTGGGCGAACTTCTTGGCACGGGTCACATCTGGAGACCCATTGCTCAATGTCTCTGTCCATGGATGGCCACCAGACGTAACTCCGTGCCAGGGCCTTCATGCGGACGATGCCCGGATGCCCTTTGTGCAGAGTCTCTAACGTCCGCCGTTGCAGAGTGCTTGGAATCAGCACCCTGTCTCCCCATAGCAGACAGCCCTTGATGGTGGACAGCTCCTTCTGTTTCCTGGCGAACGGGCTGAACCTCTCCTCCGTTTTTTCCGATGGCCACCCTCTGAGGATCCAGGACTTCACTTGGCAGAGTGTGGGGTCCTTTTGGGTGTGAACGGCCACATCTGCGGATGAGACTGGACAGCTGGCGGCGGCGTCTATGTGGAATAAGTGGAGCATGGGGGCTGGGTCTTCGACTGGATTCTTCGATGGGCATCTGCTGAGTGCGTTGGCATTTCCTATGGCTGTGCCTGGCTGGTGCACGAGCCTATAGGAGTAGCCGGCTAGGAAGATGGCCCATCTCGTCATCCGCGGGGACATGAAGGTCGGGGTGGGTTGGTCGCCTGCGAGGAGTCCCAGGAGTGGCTTGTGGTCGGTGACTATGGTGAAGTGTCTTCCGTAGAGGTATTCGTGGAAGCGCTTCACTCCTGCCACGATGGCCAGGGCTTCTTTGTCCAGCTGACTGTAGTTCCGTTCTGCGCCGGACATGGTCTTCAAGAAGTAAGCGATCGGGGCTTCCGAGCCGTTGGGCAGTTCATGGCTGAGGACTGCCCCCACCCCGTAAGGTGATGCATCACAGGTCAGCTTGATGGGGAGCGTCTCGCTGTATTGGATGAGAACGCTCTTGGACGTCAATAGTCCTTTGATGGCCCGGAATGCTGCTTCCTCTTCCTGGCCCCACTTCCAGGAAGCCGCTTTCCCCAGCAGGCGGTGGAGTGGCTCAGCAACTGTGGCTTTCTGTTTTAAGAAAATGGCGTAGAAGTTGAGCAACCCAAGGAAAGCCTGAAGCTCCGTTTTGTTTTTTGGGCTTGGAGCTTCATGGATTGCTTCCACTTTTGATTTGGTGGGGTGGATGCCAGTGCTATCAATGAGATAGCCCAGGAACTCGACTTCCTGTACTCCTATGGTGCACTTGTCCCGCCTGACTCTCAAGCCCTTGGCCTTGAACCGCTGCAGGACAAGCCTGAGCCGTTCAAGGAGTTGAGCTCGTGAGTCACCTGAGACGAGCACATCGTCGAAGTAAGGTACCACCCCTGGAACGCCTTGGAGAAGGCGTTCCATCATAGATTGGAAAATGCCTGGGGCAGCGCTGACTCCAAATTGGAGGCGGTTACATTTGAATGCCCCCCTGTGCGTGACAATTGTTTGTGCCTCCGCCGTTTTTTTCATCCACTGGCAGTTGCTGGTAAGCCTGGGCCAGGTCCAGTTTCGCGAAAATTGAGCCAGATCCCAGGGAATGCAGCAGGTGTTGCACCACTGGGACTGGGTATGCGCTCTGTGCCAACGCCTTGTTGATGGTACAACGGTAGTCAGCGCAGATGCGCACAGACCCATCATGCTTCAGTGGGGTCACAATGGGGGTCTCCCATGAGGCATGATCGATCGGTTCCAGGACGCCCTGGGCGATCAGCTTATCCAGCTGCTCGTCTACTTTAGGCCGCAGGGCAAACGGAACTCGGCAGGGCTTGAGCCTGATTGGGGTGATTCCCTTGTCCAGATTGAAGGAAATTGGCCTCCCCACAAATTTCCCCAGTTTACCATCGAAGACTTCTTTGAACTCTTCGAGGATGGTGTCGAGTTCGTCCCTATGGATTTCGTGGATGCCCTCAATGGAAAGCCCCAGCGGCTTAAACCACTCCACTCCCAACAGGTTCGGTCGGCTGTTCTCCACGATGGTGATGGGCAGCTCTCCGTTAAAGTCCTTGTATTTGATGTGGATGGTGGTTCTGCCCAGGATTCCGATGGGATTTCCGTTGAAGTCCACAAGCCTCGACTTAGGGGTTTTCAGCTGGGTCTTCTTGCAGGATGGTTTCAGCTGCTGTAGGTGCTGCCAGTCCATGATGGAGTAGGCGGACCCGGAGTCTACCTCCATCTTGCATGGTGACCCTTCCGCCATCAGCGTCACGTGGAACTTGGTGGTCCCCTCATCACTTGTGTGAGCGATGGTTGTCTGGTGCACCGTTCTGCTGCGGGGATAGTCGTCCTCCCCGCGCCAGGACTGGTTCGACGACCGTTTGGATGTCCTCTGGTTATCTTTGCGATTCTCGCGGAATCATGGTCTGGGCGGTTCCGGGGCTGGATCTGCTGCTCTGCAGGCCTCGGCGATGTGCCCCCTCTTCAGGCATCGGCGGCAGGTCGCGTCCCTCCATCTGCAGGTTGCCCTGGGGTGGTCGCCTTTGCAGCTGCCGCATCATTCTCCCCGGTCGCCCTGCTGTGGGTTTTCCCGCCTGGGGGGACGGGAAACCTTGTGGACGGCCCTTTCCTCATCAGACTCAGATTGCGTTGTTGAGTCGTCTGATGAGGTCAGAGCCGACTTGTGGATCTTATGGATCCCTCTAGCTTTTACCATCACGGCGGCTGCCTTCTCGGATGTTTCAGCCGCTGTTGCTTCGTCAAGGACGTCTTTGAGTGGTATCCTCTTCCGGCTGAGGAACTTCTTTTGCAGACCCACATCTCTCATTCCAAAAACAACGCAGTCTCGGATGGCGTTGTCCACATTATCGAACTCGCAGTTGGCAGCGATCTGGCGAAGCGCTGCCACGAATTCTTTGATGGATTCACCTTCCCGCTGGTTTCTCTGCTGGAAGGTGAACCTGTTTGCGATTGGGTTGCCTGTGGGTACGTAATGCTCCTGCAGGGCTTCTTGCAGGTCGTTCCAGGACATCTCCTCAATGTCCCTGGGTGCCACGAGGTCAATCGCCATCTCCAAAACGTCCGATCCGCAGTGAGCCAGGAAGAGGGCTCTTTTCCGCTCATCATCGAGGTTCTGGTAGCCATTGCCTCGCAGGAACTGCCGAAATCGGACCATGTACGACCTCCACTTCTCTCGGGATGGGTCGAATGGGTTCAGTGCGGCAATCGGAGCTTGCGGAGTTGCCATTCTGAGGGTCGCTGTGGTTTCGGGTCTTCAGCTGGGTGGCGATCGTGCCACGAGTCTTGTTCAGGTTCTCCTCTCTAGTCCTTTGTCGCCAGTGTTAGATCAGGCGCAGGAAATGAAGACGTGACCAGCTCGATACATTAAGTAACTTTATTAGCTACAAAAGTAACAAGACAAGACTGCAGGCGCGCTGCCGGGGCTCTCCTTATATTCGCTCCCAGCAGACGCACCGCCCCTTGACAGGGATTCAAATCTCCCGCCGATGGCTCACAGCCAATCCGGGCGGATGTCCTTATAAGGACATAACACAAATAAATGCCAGCCAAAGCCAGATGCAGTTCTAAAGGATTATATCTAAATGTTCTATAGATAGGCTTCTGACAGTAGGGTCATCTTCAGTAAAGACTCTTCGACCTTTAATGGTGTTTTGACCTTAATAATCAAACAAATTAACCATAACACAGATGGTACCTCAGATAATCAGATCCTAAAACTTCAATCAATACCCCGAAAGTTGAGCCAGGTGAACAATTAGATATAGATTGTTCGGTACAGTCATGTGATCTCCATATTGCACACTTTCCAGATAGCTCAATGCACATTATGTTATAATAATCAAGCTTCTGTTGGTTTTCAGAGTTCATTTATTGGAAAAAAGTGTTGTGGCCATTAACATGCTTCATATGTATTTATAAGCTGGAGGTGAGTTTAGGCTTATCTGGGAGGAGAATACTGCTTTAATGCTTGTAAAAACAGTACTATTATGCAGCAAAGAATTGTTGGAGAGGACTGCTCTTGTTTGCTAAATCTTTCACCATAAAGATCTACTGTTCTAATTTAATAACAGGGAAACTCAGTGATTTAATAGTTTCATTTGGATAATGTGAAAATGTCCTTTGTGGGTAATTTATAACTGAATCGTGGACTTGGGGATTATTTTGGAAGCTGCCCATTGTAAACTCCTTTCTATTCCCCTTCTTAATGTAGCTAAAGGATTCTTGCTAAATGGCTGTCAAGTTTATTTTATTTTACTTTTATTATTGATATTTTGGTTATTTAAAATATATTTTATTTTAAAACCAATTTTTATTTAAAAATCTACCACCTCTTGATTAGATTAGTTGAGTCCAAAATGTCTTTAGGAATTTTCTTTTAATGATTCTTTCCTTAAATATTCAATTAATGTTCTAAGTTATTTTTGTGGCTATATTATAAAACCAACCAATCAGTTAATCTGGTGCACCTTCTATATGCCTGTCCTTGCAATATTTGAAGACTACAATCATACTTCCATTTAATCTTTTTCTTCAAGCTAAAGGGGTCTTCAACTGTTCTTTGTAATACGTTTTGTAATAATAGCTGCATGTCACAGTTTTGCCAATCTGTGCTTCTATGACATTATGGGGATTATATGGTGGATCAGTTGACAAGCTGAACTCATCAATTAAATTATTATTCAGAGGAAATATTGTGAAGACATTTTTGTAGCACATCTTTATTATGATATGCCCTGAATAATCCAGAATAGAGCAGAACTATTTCTTGTTCTGTGTTTATCAACAAAAAGTATTCCGAAATCACATGAAGACTTAAATGAGAAGCCAGTTAATCAATCAATATCAGTACCTATCTTCAAACTAAAATACATGAACTTTTAAAATGTTTTTACAAAAGACAAAAAAATTAACACGAAAGAAAGAAAGAAAGAAAGAAAGAAAGAAAGAAAGAAGGAAGGAAAGAAAGAAGGAAGGAAGGAAGGAAGGAAGGAAGGAAGGAAGGAAGGAAGGAAGGAAAGTTTCTGATTTCTTTTGCAGCAAATATATTCAGAAAATTATTTCTTAAAATTCATGATTTAATACTGGTAGGAAGAAGAGACTGAATAGGAAGAGGAAAAAATAGGTCATGTCAGGTTTCGTTGCTATCTTAAATAAACTTCATTCTCAAACGCAAAGTGAAAGAGATCATAATTTGGAACGCTGACAGGTCGGACATTTGTTTTAAATCATTTTTTAAAAATTCTGAGGGCAAAAAGCAATTGCTGTCACATAAGAACCAGTGAAATTTGCCTCTTTTCTCCTCTTTTTTCCTTTCAGCAGCACTTGGAAAAACCACAGGTGTTGTATTTTTCAAAAAAAAATGGATACAACTTTCTGTTGCATTTTTTAAAAAAGTAAATCTTAACCAAAGTATTTTGTCATTACAACTCTTTCATAAAGGGGTTGTGTTTTCACCAAATTTGAAAATTCAAGAAAGACATCCTCACCATGTGATGATGATGGGAGCAATCTATAAAAAGCATTGCATCCAATTTACATGCGTAATATGTGACAGTAAAAAATATACAATGGCTAAAGCTATTTAAATAACTTTTCTAATATCTGGGTTGCTTAAATCTCAACAGAAAATTTTAAAAATAATATCTGAAGTTTCCCTCATTGATTTCTAAAAGGAGGTACTGTGGAAATCTAAAAATGACATGCTACAAAAATGTTTGAATTGTTATTTTGATGTGTATTAATAACTATAAAACATGAAGGTTTTTCCTCTTATGGGAAAAGATGGCACATTTGAAAATATAATATACCAATAAAAAGCAACCTAAGAACTGCACATGTAATAATTAGGCTTACCATCTGATAAGTTTTATTTTAATACAATGTATTTGTCATTTAACTGTCTTTGAAGTAATCTTCATCTGTCTTTGTTAAAGAAATAAACTATTTTAAATGTTTAGATGTTATATAGGGGAAAATCACTGCTCATTGAGAGACGACATAAAAATAGCTTGCTGTGCATAATCAGTGGTGGGATTCTGGGGGTTCGGCCGAACCCTTTGTTAAATTGCTGGCTCGCCCGCCCCTCGCCCCGCCTCCCACCCGCGCAGCGCCAGCCTACCGTAGCCAGGGGTAGGCAATTGTGGCTCTTTTACAACCTGTGGACTTCAACTTCCAGAATTCCTGAGACAACTTGGCTGTCTCAGGAATTCTGGGAGTTGAAGGCCACAGGTTGTAAAAGAGCCACAATTGCCCACCCCTTCCCTAGCCTGAGTTCCGCTGCCTGGGATCCACGTGGGCTGCCACGTGGTTCCCCACCGGCTCCGGACACAAGAGAGCAGGATGGAGAAAGCAGCTTCCACGCCTTCACTCACCCTCACTCTCTGCTCTGTTGGATCGCCGGCCATTCGCTTACCCTGCCCACTCCCAATCTATTGCTGCCTCCGATGGCTAGAGGAAAAAAAAAACTTCAAATTCTTGCCGCGGGGCTTCAAAGGGCCGCCCTAGAGCCAGTGGTGCAGCCGAACCCTTTGTTAAATTGCTGGCTTGCCCCGCCCCTCCGCACCACTATTTATTGGTGGGCGAGGGGCGAGGGAGCCAGCAATTTAACAAAGGGTTCGGTGTTTTTTTTGTAATTTTATTGGCCCACGGAGCTTCAGCATAGGCTAATTGGCCTCCCAGCTCTCAGCTGATTTGTCTCAGTTGTTTTGCTCAGGGCTCTTCTGCTTCCTTGCAAAGAGTGCTGATTTTTTTTCCCCTAGCTATGCTGAGAAACGAAACTGAAACTGCTTTGCTGTTGCTGCAAGGTTGGAAAATTAGGCAGGCAGAATTCTTTTCTTTTTCCTCACCAAAAAAGGTAGGTGCAAACAATGGGAAATTTAGGGAAAAAGAGGAGAGTTCAGGATTTTAAAACACAAAAGAAAAAAAGCTCTATTTAACTAGGGAATTGTAATAATTGAGATACTATTAATTGTATATTTCTGAAAGCAGAAATGGTTAAGTTGTGGTTTGGAGGAATATATGGGGGAAATTATTTGGTTTATTATTATTGGTAAATATAATTAATTGATTTGTAAGAAATTGGATTGCATGGAAATAATTGGAATATTCATGTTCATATTGACTAATATACAAAAAAGGTAGTTATATAACTAATTGATTTATATTAAAATGTTGAATTTATATTAAACAACTAATATTACATAATTAACCAATCTAACAATGTAATTTTAAGAGCAGTTAACACTGATTGGGTAGATGCAGGGGCGACATTATAATATAAATTTAATTATATTTAAATAGTACTTTAAATTATTGTATTTTATCCCGATTTTATTTTAGATCGTATTTTATTCTAATTGTATTTTAATTGCGAGTTATTCCAATCTTACTTAATTTGTTTTACCAAACCTTTGTAATGATTTGTCTTTGTAATTCTGCACTTGATATGGCCCAAAGGGCTAATCAATAAATAAAATTGAATTGATTAAGATTAGAGATGAGGATGAAGGGTAATATTGGTTTTTTACAAAAATAGATGAGGAATAAATATGGCAAAAAGGAAATATAGAAATTGTAAATTTAATTGAAATGACTAAACAGTTTAAATTTGTGAACCGGCCAAATACTCTGTTCAAAGAAAATACATTGTATGTTTGTATGTGTGTTTCTAATTATTGTTATTTATTCATATTTGTTCTCTTTTATTCTTTAAAGTTTAACAATTCATTCTTTATCTTAATATCTTTATATTTGTTTGGGGTTGGCTTTCTTCCCTTTCATCTTTTTTATTGTATAGCAATCTTTCTC